TATTACTAGTAGTTTGTTAATATATTTATTTTAATAAAATTACTTAAATTTTTAAATACATTAATAAAAGATGATACTATATTACAGATTCCAAACAGATTTTGATCTTGTGCAATGTTTAGGTAGAGGAGGTTTTGGAGTGGTATATGAAGCTAGAAATAAAATTGATGACTGTTCATATGCCATTAAAAGAATCGCCTTGCCAAACAGGTTTGTTTATAATAAAAATTAATAATTATTTATATAATAAAAGGAATAATTTGATCTACAAATATACCATGTTTCCTCAATTCTAATGCTTGATCAAATCTAATGCACATCTAATTTTCAAGATATCAAAATTCAAAAAAGTTAGCTTGTGAATGTAATACATGCCCTAATATAGAAAATGCAGCTGCAAAAGTTTAATGTATTTAAACAGTAATAGATGCTTTTTTTTGCAAGCCCATTATGGGTTCAGCCAGGCCGACAATGGGGCAGCCGGGTGGTGAGGGACAGGGCCCAACATATCTGAATGGACCACCCCCAAAAAATTCCTGGGGATTATTTGACCTGTTCGGATTCAATCCCCCAAAGCAGAAGGCTGCTCAGCCATCTGGCCACTAAATCTAATAGTTATCCAAGTTCCATTAAGTTAATTAACATATCTGTGAAAAACTGTTAGATTACCCATCTATGGCCAAGTGGCTAAAACCACTGAACAATGGTAGTTAGTCATGTTTGTGCCGGCTCTACATATCAGTCTGTAGTTATTTATAAATAATTTAATTATTAGGGAAAAAAGGAATGAACAGAAATTTTTTATAGAAACTTGAGGGTATGTTGTTAATTTCCTGCAAATCTCTAACTTTTTAATACAGAATAAAAAGTCAAGTTAATATTAATGTACCATTGTAATATTAATAAAACAANTAGATTACCCATCTATGGCCAAGTGGCTAAAACCACTGAACAATGGTAGTTAGTCATGTTTGTGCCTGATCAGAGGCTGCTTACATGAAGTTTTCCAGGTTTTCTTCACATATCTAACACCTAAAAAAAAGGGCCAGTTTCCCATAGAAAGTCCTCCCGGTGGATATATCCTATCAGCAGATCACCCTTAAAAAATCTGATTGGTTAGTGATAAACTAGATCTCTCTTGCCTAAACTTATGTTTTAAAGTTATTTCATACAATAAAGTTAATTATATTGTACTTAGCATAGATTTATAAACTGTCAATTATAGTTTAGTAACTCTTACAGATATGTTTTTTTAATAATTCTCTAGAGATGATGCTCAAGAAAAGGTTAGACGTGAAGTAAAAGCATTAGCAAAGTTAGATCATACCCATATAGTAAGATATTTCCATACTTGGTTAGAATATCCCCCATCAGGTTGGCAAGAAGAAAAAGATAAGGAATGTGAAAGCAGGTAGGAATTTTTGTGAGAATATAAAAAATATATATATTATTTTATTTGGAATAAATTGTTCTGATAGTCATTGAATTTTTTCAGTGAAACTCAGTCTACTTCTCATGTTTCTGCTAGTCCAATGATAAAATTGAAGAAATCCATAAATCCATTAAAATTGTCAGAAGTAAATGTAGAAAAGAGTTTAGGTTTTAAACCAAATACAAATTCAGATAATTCTTCCATATCAGTCTCCTTTAACAATTCTCATTCTAATAGTAACTTTAAAAATACAAATTCAGATCAGTCATTTGAAATAGTTTTTCAAAATTCAGACAAAAGATATGAAGTGAATTTAGATGAAAAGTCTTTATCAAAAACAAGTTCTGAAGAAAATATTGGTCCTATTAAAATTCCATTTCAACGATATAAGGATGACAATGATAATACTGATGACTTATCAGTGGAATTTAAAGATTCAGGATGTGCAGATAATTCAGATGGCAAAGAAGAGAGAACATTCCTTAAAAAAGAGAGTTCAAATTACAGAAATGAATATTCTAAAATTACTTCCAAAGATAAAGAAAATAATGAACAAATTCCTATTCGTCCTGATAAATTGGATATAACTAAAAATATATCTTGTAATATTCCTAAAGTATACTTATATATTCAGGTAAGAAATTAGTAAATTCAAATGTGATTTTCTTTAGAAATTTTATATTGTATTATATTAGTAGTAATAAAAAATAATTTTCTACATATTTCTTTTTTACATTTCATAGTATGATTTATTTTTCATCTTGTTTTTGTTTTGTCATTCCGGTATAAAATTTTTTATCTTAATAAAAAAAATTCATTGTTTTTAGGATACAATTAAAAGAAATTTCTTTTTATTAAAATAATTTTTGTAGATGCAGTTATGCCAAAAACAAACATTGAAGGATTGGTTAAACAACACTCTTCAGAGGGAGAGAGAACAAGTTTTAGATATTTTTGATCAGATTGTAAGTGCTGTGGAGTACGTTCATGAGCGTGGTTTGATGCATAGAGATTTAAAGGTAAATTTAAACATTAACATTTATTAATGCTTCAAAACTTATTTAAAATATATAAATACAAATTTTTATTTTTAAAAGAAAAGGTTAAATGAAAATTTTTTAGTTTAAAACAGGAGCTTTAACTGATTTTGTTAAAAAAAAGTAGTTAAATGTTTTCATATTTTCTGTCATTGTGTTTGAGCAAACTTCCTCTCTATCTAGATTAAAAATTTATTTTTACATGTCTTAATTGCTAAGAAAAGTCTTTTTATAGTTTTTTTGTGCATCTGTTTTGTTTACAAAGTAAAACCATTTAAATTATTTACAATGCACAGATTTTAAAGAATTTCAAATAAAATTCATGTGAAATTTTGACTTATAAAGGCAGTCTGTGACTTTTGACCTTAATGCATTCCTAAAACAGTAAATTTGCATGTTATGGAAAGTGTTCTGTTTCTGGGGATCTAAAATCAAAAATTATAAAATTTCTTAAGATAAGAAAGTTTGGTTTTCTTATAGTGAATACATAACAATACATAAAACTTTGATGTTTTAATTAAAGTTTTAATTAAACAAACAATAAATTAATTTTCATAAATAATTTTGATACTAAAACTACTTAAATTAAAACTGGCAGAAAGCACTATTGAATGATAGCACAGTTCAAATTGTGTATGAGAAATGTATTAAAGAGCAAGCTGTCCAAGAATCAAAGATCTCTTGTTTGTGTGACATACATACATACAATGCACACATACATACAAAGTATATATAATATTCCTAATGTAAAATTTCATGGTCTTCTACATTCTGTTTTACTACGGATTGTGATTGAAATGTTGCCCGTGCATATTGAATGCACATTGCATTTGACATTAACATATTGTAACTGAAAATGTCATTTATTTCAGAAACAGTCGATTTACATATCTATATTTATGTTATTTTGTTGAGTCAAAATAAATAAATAAAAAAGCTTTTCATCTTTAAAACTTTCGTAAAACTTCTTAAATACTCTATCTAAATTTATTGTTTCATAAAGTAAATGAGAAATTTTTCTATTAAAATAGTTGCAACTGTCATTGATTCAATTTATAAATATTAGATATGTAATTTATTGTCTTGTGTTGATTTAGAAAATAACTTGCTTAAATAATTAGAATTAAAAATAAATTTTATTTTGTCTTACATGCCAAATTTTAAAAAATTACCTAAATAATTTTAATTTCAAAATTCTTAATAGATTACTTTTATTCACAGCCTTCCAATATTTTTTTTTCACTTGATGGATTAGTGAAAGTAGGAGACTTTGGGTTGGTTACAGCAATGACTGAAAGTGACCTGCATACTCCAGCAGGAAAATTCTCAGAAGGTGATACACTTTCAACACATCATACTAATAATGTAGGCACTCAACTTTACATGAGTCCAGAACAGGTATGTTGTTAATTTCCTGCAAATCTCTAACTTTTTAATACAGAATAAAAAGTCAAGTTAATATTAATGTACCATTGTAATATTAATAAAACAATCAAAGCATTTATCAAAAATAAAATATTTTTTTCCAACAGTTAAAACTTTCTACAATGACAAATTTATTTAAAACATGTGAAAAAGAAGCAATAAATGTTAGTTTTTATTCTTCTATAATAAAATTATATTTTCAATGGAATATACTTTTATTTTAAACTATTATACTTGTCTAACAAAACTGGCAACTCTAAATAGTTGTGGATAAATAACATGCAAGCATATTTTAAAGAAATTGGCATTATATTTATTTTTGAATACCGATATCAAAATACGACATATAAATATGATACTGAAATAGTTAATATTTAAACTTATACATAACTAATTCATGTGATATGAGTGATAGAACACTCCCTAGAAAGTTAAAAAGCAAAATATCAATACTTCATTTTTACTGTCAATTACAGGATAAAATTAATTATACTAAAGTAAAATATATACCCTTAAGCCCATAAGTTTTCTCAGACATTTGGTAGTCATACAATGTCTAAAGCAGATAACTGAATACTTGAAATAACTGTCATGACAACTAAACATAACATTTAGACATGGTAAATGAAGCTGCTTGGCTTCTATTTATGAATATTTGGATTCCATAGACATCAGTTATTACTCTGTGATCTTATGCTATACAAAAAGATTTTTATATAGTAATTGCTTCCATCATCATGAAATTTGGATTGAAAAATCAGTCATTCTGGTAGAGAACTGGAAGTTTATATTTTCAAAAATAAGGAGTATTTATAAACAGGGTTCCTACGCACCTGGAAAATCAGGGATTTTCATTAGTGTTTGGAAAAAGTCAGGGAAAGTCAGGGAATTTGTCGAAAATTGTCAAAAAGTCAGGGAATTTGTCAAAAATTGTCAAAAAGTCAGGGAGTTTGTCTCCTTAACTGCATTGTTGATCTCATTTGCTGAATATGGATGACCAATCACAGCCATCTGCATCCGGCATGTATGCAGTTTACGGACTATGGCTGTTGGAAAGGTTTTCTTCCATAAAATTAATTGATTCTAGACTAATTTGACTCAACATTTCCAAACTATGTATAATTTTTTGGGAATAATCCATATAAACTATGCTATAAACAAAAATTTGTAGGATTATTTACCGAGTGGGCATCGTTGAACACACTCGTGTTCAACGATGCCATTGCTTAAACTTGTTTTCATCATGGAGCGGTGCATTGAATGGCACCCGTGCGCTTCCTGATAAATTATTTTTTTTTTGCAAAAAATTTGCTGAACTTTGGAGACATCATTAATATAAATATAATTTTTATGGACGTTAAATAATAAATGGTTTTTAGTAGGTCTGTTGCTCGTTTAAACTCAACGGTTTGTACAATATCCGCTATTGGTCTAGATTCGACCAATCCTGTCACAACACGAGTCGGTGATGACATTTTACTGAATTATATGAGTCTCTTTTAGTGTGTTTATACAAATATGGTCGCAATTTTTTCACCATCATATAGGAATCTGAACTATATGAACCCGTTTTATAGGGGGGTCTACTGTACTGTATGTGGATTTGAAACAAAATAGTATATTAACTTCTAGATAAATTAATTCTTAACATAGAGAGGTATTTTGATTTTAATGATTTGATTTTTAATTAGCTTGTACACTATTTTATAAGTTAAAACTTGTAAACAGAGACATTTTAAATTTATATATTTCTATAAATTAACACAATTATATGGTGAAAAGATCATTTTTAAAAATATTATCTTTAAAATTACAGTTTGATTTGTTTTTGGGTTCTGTTTTGTCTCTTCAGTACTTCAAATTTATTTAAAATTTCACACATTCATTAGAAAAACTATTTAGAGGGAATTTTCAAATATTATTTTCAGTGTGTTAATTTTTAATTTGCATAATAGCATGTGTGTTGATTTTATATATACATTTATGCTTTTTCATTTATTTCAGATTGCAGGAAAATCATATAGCCACAAAGTGGATATTTTTTCATTAGGTTTAATTCTATTTGAATTACTTTTTCCTCTGAAAACTTATATGGAGAGAGTTCAGGTAATAAATTTATTATTATTTTGATATGTTTAAGTGTACAAAAAATATTTCTTATTAAATTAGTTAATACAGTAGAAGTTCATTAATCCAGTATCTATAGGACCAAGTGGGACAGGATTATCAAAAATCATGGATTACCAGATGTGTATTTTTGTAAAATTAAATGTTATATAAAATAAAAACATTGCAGACATTGCTGTACACTTTGTATCAGTGCACACTGCTGTGTACTTTCCATTTGTTTATGTATGTTTGTGAGACTTTTCTTTGCCTTTTGAAAAGCTTTAATTGAAACAAGAAAGATTTGGATAACAGGAACGTTTTAAGGAATACAAATTACATAAAAATATTGTGATTATTATAAAAAAAACAAATGTAGGACTTACTTCTCGTCTTTCGTCTTTTCGCGCGTTCTTCAACCGTCGTCTCCTCTCGCGAAGTCGCGTCTCGTCCCGCTCTCGTCGTCTCGCCGGCAGATGGCGTTTCGCTCTCCACATTTATTATTTGATGAAATATAGATTCTTCAATTATAAAAAAATTAAAAAAAGTCGATTAATTTTAAAAATAGCATTGATTATTAGGAATCAAATAAAGAAACAATACAAAAATTTCATGACAAAGTAAGATCTGATAGGGATATTGGAAATCAATAAGCAATCACAATGAATGGTAGCTGATATGAAATACAGGTATCCCTCCTATAACACGATAGTTAGTTCCGAAAAAGTGTCGTGTTCTGGGAATCCGTGCTATACGAAACAAAAGACTAATGCAAAACATAGGGTTACGTTCCAGAAGTTAGCAAAAGTATGCTATACTATTCTTTTTATGTTTATTAAAGCAATCGGTAATTTATTTTCAATCAATAATTAATAAAAATTCAAAATAAAAGTACTGTATTGAGTATAAATATTAATTTTAGTTAAACGAGAGCGTTTTATTTTTTTTACAAAGTATCATCGTTATCTGAGTTCTTTTGTTAATCTTGATCAGAAATATCAGCAACATTTTTATATTTTTTATTTTTATCATAAAAATTTTTATGGAAGACGAAATAAAAATATGTTATTAATCGAAAATATTTGTTATAGCGGATCGTGTTTGTTCAGTGGAGTATTGAGCGACTTTTTTCCAGAAATTGTGTTCCAATACCGAATTGTTTGAGTACCGAGATACCTCCGTATTTCGTTTGTCATTTTTACGAATAAGTAATCATTGGTAGGTAAATAATAACCACGGTTAAAAAAAAAATTAATAACACTTACTTAAAAGTGTTTAAATAAACTTTACTAAATCTACTAGGACATCGTGCGACTTTGTCGCATAGCGATAGAATTGAGACGGAGCCGGAAAGTAAGAAACGATCCTTGAACCTGTTACAAGAGGCGATCTTTGTACCTGACGGACGCAAACAGGTGAAATTTGCACTTTCCGCCATAAAAGAGGCTATACTTGTACTTGCCTGCCATGGGAGACAAGATTCTTTCAATGGCCGTAAACGGAAAGAGATTTGCAGATACAGAGAGGCAATCCAAGAACAAAGCAATTGCCATCGATTGCTTTGTTCTTGTGTTTTGTCCGTATTTCATGTCTATTCTTCTTTAGGCGCACGCAATGCTGTTTTTATATTTGGCCTCTTGGCTTAATTCGGTTAGGGACGTTCAATCGCATCAAAGAGCACGGACATTGTCACTTTAATATCTCTGTATATCAAAAATGAAGTCACGGACTCATATTTTTTACATTTAAATGGAACCTCATTACATTTTTGGATTCCACGTCGCAATTAATGGAAAATGGCAAATGTGAACCGCCGGGGAGAGTTGAAGGGCTCCCTGTCCGGCAACAGGTAGTTAAACCTGATCACTGTCAAGATGGCAAAATTTTCTCTTTTTCCNGTACTTTTCCTTTGTTTAAGGGTATTTGGGCAGTTTATTCTCTGTTATATTCTCAAGTAAACAATACATACAAGTACAGTACAGTATTTTCTGAGGAAACACTCGTACTTATTTTTTTTAACCCCATTCCCGATAACCCGGCATTTTCACAAACTCGGCCACCCTTCGGTCCACATTAGGTCGAGTTTTCGAGGTTCTACTGTAATTATAATTCCAACAAATTGATATACAAACAAGTATATTCATGTTTCGTGTTACATTTCAATAGAATTCGAATTTACTTCTCGATGTCTGAGTTTTACGAGCGTTTGTTTTACATTTATACATTATGTGTTTACGTCACACACTCAAACAATACAGACAAAGCTTAAGTTTGAAAAGAGGGACGAGTTGTATAGAAAATTGTAAGCGCTAAAAGCGTGTAAACTCTTCATAAACACCGAATATTTTCGAGTCGTGACAGGTGACCCACTTGTATTCTTTACCTTCAACCGTCAAAATTGTATGTTCACGATGTCTTTTATTAAACAAGTTACCGTGCAAATTTCGGTTTGTAATGTTTACCTATCCAGAGATATTAAACGAAATAGACGTGAATACACAAGCGCACACATATTTCGTTTCTTTATTTTTTCTGTACAGAGGTGTCATCACCATTCCAAAAATCTCCAAGGTCAAATGTCATTCAATTATATTAAAATTATTGAAATTTCTCGACATATAGTTTGAAGGATTATAAATTAATTTTCAATTAAATTTGATACGAGAAGTGGCCAAGACAATGAATCATTTCGTCAATGTTAAGGTTGTGTTTGTTGCAATTAATTTATTTGTTGGTTTGCTCCTAATTAATCATGTTTACTGATGAATATTTATATAATGTGGTTGAAATTCTTAGTTAAACAGTAACAAAAATCATTATCGAAAGTGTTTTTGACGAAATAAATGGAATCTTTGTAGAAATGAATGATCTATTTTCGAATTGTTTCGAATATAATAAACTACGACATACAACACACGCGAAAGACTGCAAATGGATAACTAATATTANTAAAACTATCTACTACCGTGAATATGTGCTGGTAGTTTTTGTTCGTTGAGGGTAGTGGTCCGAGAAAATCTACATGGTATGTGCTCAAAGGACCATCCCCTTTTGGTATGGGATTTAATAGGCCTTCACCTTTCCCCCTTTTCCTATTATATAGTATGCAGTCAACACAATTCAGTATGACATTTTCTATGTGTTTTCTAGCGTTTGAGATATAAAAATTGCGTTTTAGAAGATCCTCCGTCTTTGCTGCTGCAAAATGACCTTTTCGATGTACGTGTTTGATTATGTCAGTTTGCATCAATTTGGGTACAACGTACAGTTCTAGTCCGTTTTCGTATTTATATAAAACGTTATTTTTTAGTACATAATCATTTGTCTCTCCTTTTCCCACTGAATCCTTAAGAGCTTTTATATCCTCATCAGTATCTTGTGCAGAAACAATTCTTGTTGTTATTTCGTCGGAAGAACGCGTAATTAGTAAAACTGCATTGCGGCTTAGTGCATCCACATGCTTCATCTGGTTGCCTTTCCTATGGACAACTTCATAGTCAAATTCGTCAAGTAATAAAGACCATCTTGCTAATTTTGGAGTAAGCTCCTTCTTTCCGAGTGTTCGTTGGAACGCAGCACAGTCCGTAATTATTTTAAATTTGGAACCCAACAAATAGTTTCGAAATTTTTTCAAGCCCTCAATTACAGCTAGTACTTCTAACTCGTAACTGTTATATTTTTCTTGCTGAGGCGATGTTTTCCTACTCATATAATTGATCGGGTAATACTTTCCGTTGTCAGCTTGTTGTAGCAAAACTGCTCCGAACCCGAGGCAACTTGCATCCGTATGTAATTCTAATGGAGCACCACGCTTGAAAATATGGAGAACTGGACTTTGTGATAGTATGTCCTTCAATTTTTGAAATGCTTCTAGTTGTTCTGCACCGAATTTGAATTTTACGCCATCTCTAAGCAAATCGCTTAAGGGTTTCGCTATCTTCGAATAGTGGGGAATGAATTTCCTAAAATAACCCGTGAGTCCTAGAAAGCTTTGAACATGTTTTACGGTTTTGGGTTGTGGAAACTTTTGAACGGCTGCTGTTTTAGTCGGAGAAGGTCTAATTGTTCCGTCTTTGATGACATAGCCGAGAAATTCTACTTCGTTCTTTAAGAATTGACATTTTTCGAAATTAAGTTCCAACCCATATTCTGAAGCTACTTTTAGTACACGCTTCAATTTTTCTAAACCTTCCTGTGCATTTGATGACGGTATTAGGATATCATCCATATAAATTACTACAGTTTTATCTTGTAACAATGGTCTAAACACATGGTAAATATAACGTTGGAATACACTTGGACTATTACACAAGCCAAAAGGAACCTTTAGAAATTCATACTGGCCCTCGTGTGTAACGAAAGAGGTATACTTTCTACATTTCTCATCAATGTCAACATGGAAAAATCCATTTTTTAAATCGAGCGACGTGAACACTTTTGATTGTTCCAAACGATCTATCACATCCTCAATCAAAGGCAAGGGGAAGTGATCTCTGACCGTTTTCCGATTCAACTTTCTAAAGTCCACGCACAGTCTAATTTTGCCATTTTTCTTTTTGCATAAAACTATTGGCGCAGCATAATCTGAACAGCTAGGTTTGATTATGCCACCGTCCAACCATTCTTGGATTTGGTCTTCTACTATTTTTTGTTCTTCGAATGACATTCTACGTGGGCGATGACTAATGGGAATTTCGTCAGTTAAAATAATTTGCATCTTCAATCCGGTATCCTTTACCTTATTTGGCTCATAGGTTGTAATTAATTCCATCAAATTCTGTCGTTGCTTTCTATCCACAATGTGACTTAAATCCATCTGACAACAATCTGTCGCATCTGCCAATTGACCTAAAAAGCATGTTTATTCGTTCTCAACTTCTGAGGGATCAGTTAAATCACACTCCCTGTCGTCGGTGAGCGAAACATGGTTAAAACGGTTTAATCTGTCTATATCTGCACTTGATTGCATTTTTTTTTTTTTTTTTTTGCTTTCATTGCAAGGCTTACACGGAAATGTATCAGATTTGGAAGTAAACTTTTCTTTTTTATTTCTGCCGAAATCGTTTGTGTCACTAACCACAAGGGGTGGGCGCTCACCAAGTGATTTAGTGTCTTGAAAACCGTTTCTCTCTCCCCACTCAGTGGAATGCGAAAGGAACGTCTGCTCTTTTCTAGAGGCGTCATCTGATCTAACGAGTGTTGATTCAGCCGCAGACTTTCCATCGGGAACAAAAATTCGAGTATAATTAACACGAATAGTATTTTGAGTTCGTTTCCCCATAACTTCGAATCCGTAGTTTGTTATAGAGAAGTTCAGTTTATTCAGAACATCTATTCCTATTATTATAGAATTACACAGATCACCTTCTACCACATAAATATTTGCAGGAAGAGAGTATTCGTCAATCTTTATTTCACTTTCGAAGAAACCTAACGGAGAAATACTATTCCTATCTAATCCAATTAAAGATGCATTATCTGAGTTTAATTTCGGAGTCCCTACTTTTTCATAAAAATGCCTTGGTATCATCGTTATTTCCGACCCGGTGTCGATAAGTCCTTTTGTTTTTGCACCTAGGATTTCAACATCCGTTTCAATTTTGTTGTTACATCTAGAGAAATGACTTAGTTCCATTTTGTTTACTTTTTTTTGAGGACAAGCGTTAGCTTTATGGCCGAATTTTTTGCACTTAAAACATCTAATACCTTCGGATTTATACGAGCAATTACTCGAAATGTGACCAATTTCATTACAATTAAAACATTTGAGAGTTTTACTATCATGGTTATTTCGATAAGGCTGGGGTTTTCGATGCTCTGTAGGTAGATTCGGTTTAGACCAGCGTTTCTCAAAGTGGGCGATAACGCCCCCTTGTGGGCGCTGGAGGCTTTCAGGGGGGCAGTAGAAGGCTCAAAGAGAATTGGGGGGCGTTAAGGAAATATAGAGGAGCGACGGCAGACAAATTCTATATATAAAAATTCGACGGAATATATATAAAATGTTGACATTTTATATATTTTTTATTGAAGGTAACAACTTGAATATTTCTAACACATTGACTTTTATTTTAGCTCAGCGTTTCTCAAAGTAAGCAATAACGCCCCCTTCTGGCGCGATGAATAGATCTATGATAGAGGCAGGGTATTGAACGGNATTCTTGCACGGATTCATTGGGGAGCATTTGGCGTTTAGCCAACATACCGTGCAATCGCGCTGAGTTATATTTACTGCCAAATTCCGCTTTTAATTCCGATTTCAATTTATCCCAGGAATTAATACCGCTTTGACTTTCAACGAATAATTTCGCTAACCCTGTTAAGGATTGTTTTGCAAATATAAATTTATGTAAATCAGACCAAGTCATCATTTTAGCAAAGTCTTCGAATGCAACCAGCCATTTATCGATAGAACAATATTCACTACCATCGAACGGTTTGATTACGTTTTTCACATCATGAAAGTTAATGAAAAGTTTAGTCATATCCGAAACACGCAGACAATTATTGCTAGGTGGATCATCGGCAACAGTTTGAACTTGTAATACATCTCGTCTTCGGTATCAACGTCTGCCAAGATCAGATTTGATTGTAATGATTTTAAATCAGAAAGAGAAAGAACAAGCCTTTCGACGATTTCGTCTTTAGTACCGTCATATTTAACATTTAATAAGTTGCACGAAACAACTAGGTCGTTTAATCGAAAGTTCTCATTAATATATTGCACTTTCTTTTTTAGGTTTTCGTCCTCTTTGGATGGAAAGTTATTCCTATCTCCAACCTCTTCGAATACAAGTTGATGCAACAATTTTATTGAACTTTGTCGAAAGCCGACTTTAATGTTTCTCCGATAATTTCTACGGCCGTCGCCATCTTAAAAGTAAAATTTTAAAACTACTTACGGTTTGCCGAAACGTAAGTCGAAGTCTTTTCGGAATGCCGATGTATTCGGACTCTCCAACGTGGAAATTTTCACAAAAACAGAAATGTCCGTAAATGTCCAGAGTACTCACAAAACCAAAGCGCTGTTCGTCAAATCTCCTCGAGTTAAGCCTAATCCACATCCGAGCCTATTCCTATCTTGTACGAGCCCCCACTTCTTTCAGACTGTTCTTTGCCTTTTGAAAAACTTTAATTGAAGTAAGAAAGATTTTTATAACAGGAACGTTTTAAGGAATACAAATTACATAAAAAAAATATTGTGATTATTATAAAAAACAAATGTAGGACTTCTTTATCGTCTTTCGTCTTTTCGCGCGTTTTTCTTCAACCGTCGTCTCCTCTCGCGAAGTCGCGTCTCGCCTCGCTCTCGTCGTCTCGCCGGCAGATGGCGTTTCGCTCTCCACATGAATAAAATAATAAATTGTTATTTATTTGAAGAAAATAACGTTTAATACAATAATTGTCTCAAGCAGAAAATGAATGCAAAGTTAAATATCGTGAATGGCACTAAGAATATATACGCCGTTCTTATCATCGTATAACATTCTATTGGGATTTTTAAACATCTGACCGAAAACTCCTATTAATTTTATGTTTATATATTTATTTTCGACACGTTAC